CGGCAATTTTGTTTTCTTTTCGACGGTGTCGGGGAAGCAGTTTTATGACGCTGATTTCTCGTAGGTCGCGGAAAGACAATGTCAAACGCAACTGCTGCACAGTTGGGTGGGAATGCAAGGACAATTGCAGTGTTTGCTCTATTTAGAAGCCAGGCGCTTATTTGTTGGTGTGCAGCCTCACTGTGATTAATGAGAAAAGTGAAGGTGTGATTTCTTTTTCTTAGATACAAGAAATGGAGGACAGCTACTGCAGCTCTGCCCCAGACCTCAACGTCGCTGCCAGACTTGCTGCAAGCTGCGCCACCAACAGTGGTGACCGAGGCTCCTGTGGATCTGCCAGCATCTCCAGCATTCGCACCAGAGTTTGGAGAACCTGAAGTCACTGGACAACATAATGAAGCTCGTCATCAGGAAGGTGTGGAGGTAGGTTCTCCTCTGCTAACATGGGTGCCTTGGGTGTACTGTTTGGTATCCACCGAACCAGTGCGTCGCGCATCTTCTACACGATTCTATATGTGCTCTATGTTAGTACGCAGGGATGGATCCAATGGTTTTCTAGAGATGTTGTTCATGCATCAATGCCTGCATCGACCTGGTCGAAGTATCCTAATTGTAGGGTTATCGTCGACTGCAGTGAAGTCCGGATTGAGAAACCGAGCAAAGTCTCGGACAGAGTGAACCGCTGGAGTAATTACAAAAGTGACTTCACGCTGAAATTTCTTGTTGGCATCGCGCCATCTGGGTACATTACATTTATTTCAGATGTTTATGGCGGAAGGGCAAGTGACACTTACATCATAGCAAACTCTCGGTTGGTTAGCCTGCTAGAACCAGGTGATATGGTTATGACCGACAAAGGGTTTCCTCACGTGAAGTGCGACTTGGAGAGTAAAGATGTGACTCTCGTTATGCCACTATTTGCAAGAGCTAATGAACAGTTCACGGAGGCAGAGATGAAGGAGACATACAAGGTTGCATCTCATCGAATTCATGTTGAGAGATGTATCCAGCGGATTAAGAGTTTCGCAATCTTGAGCCAGAGGTTGACGTTAGGACTCAAATGCCACATAGACAAAATTTTACATGTATGTAGCATGCTCGCGAACCTGCAAGGTCCCGTCATTAAGACTCTGTGAGAGTTTCGAACAGAAATCTGTGCTTCCGATAAAGTACACGGTGCGCAAAAAGACGAAGACCGACAAAAAGGAAGCGGACAGCATGAGAGGACGAAAATTAGCATTTGTCGTGTTTGTTCCTTTTCATCAGTCTTTGTCATTTTGTGCAATCAGTCTTCGTCGTTTTGCACGCCGTGTATTTTATCGTAAGCGTGAACCAACTTGCCCACGCTGCCATTATGATTCAGAAATAAATGGTCACACACGTTTTATTTGTGATATTTCGACTGGACATTTGCACTTCGTATTTCATACAGAACAATTTTTCATATATCAGCACTACTCTAGCTGATTAGATGGCTTTGCCGCCTCAGAACAGCTGGAAAATAGTGCCTGAAAAAAAAAAACTATTCCAGCTTTGGCACAACTTTCTCAAGAATAGCGTGTCCTCCATTACTTTTACACACTTGGGCCCCCTGGGCGAGTAGACATAGAAGTCGCACACATTCGCACCAACAATATACATGCTGGCTTGGACTTGTGTGTAGTACACATGGCTTTCTTGCAGCTTCAGCTTTTTTCCCTCGTATTGCAGGTAGTCAACGTTAACGTTCTCGTCAACTACAGGCTTGGTCTCGCACCTGGAAGGACACTTGATCTCTAGGAGGCGGATTTCCCCGTTCTCTTCCACCAGTCCGTCGGGGCTGCAACACAACCACGGCCGTGGGACGCACACAACAAGTCCTATTTGTATCACCTTTTTCTTTTCCGAGGACTCGTATTCTTTCCTGGCTTCCGGTTTTTTCGCTACACCGTAAGAACATGAGGCACTCTTGAATGACAGTGGTGAGGCAAGGTCTTCGGCCAGGGTATTGAAGTCAGCTGTATGTATTTTCACTCTGTGAGCCTTGGAGCTTGCAGAGATTCTTGCTGCCCTCAAACGGTGCCATTGTGGGCGTGCACTTTGAAGTATTGTCTCTCGTGAAATCTCTTTGCACTCATCCTCGCTGACCATGACAGCGAGATGAATGTCGTCACATAGCTCCTCACTCAAAATGTCATCTGCGCCAAATATTACCCGCGGTTGTCCGACACGAGGTAGAGGCTTGTTGAGACTTTTGAGGTTCTCCTTCACTTGCTCCTCTTGACGAAGCATAATGCCTAACGGGCAGTTGGAGTTTACAATGGACGCTAGCACCGGTTGTCCCTGCAGCCTGCCATCCGGTAGCTTCGATGCAAACATTTCCGAGAATAGCACAACCTCGTTGTACATTCCAAGCTGCTTTGCCGATGGCCTCTTCCACACATTTGTTATGAACGTCTTTGTGGAAGTGTCCTCCCTGTTGACATATGCCACCACTGCTGTCGTGTGCTTGCACTGGCCGCATGTGCCACCTCTACAGGTGCAGTGCCCCTCTGTTATCCTCCTGGTGTTGTCCAGCTGATGACAAAAAGAAAACGTGGATGTAAGACTCCTTAATGTCCAGTCAAGTTCATGCAACATTGTCATTATGAATATCATCAGCACTACACGTTCTCCTGTGCGCCTGGTCTTTTTCTCGCAACAAAAAGATCATGCTCAAAAATGTACAACAGCAGGGCAGAAAGTGCAGGAATTCGTTTTTGTTAGGTCGACCAAGGGTTGGAATGGGATGAGTGAGACAACCGTGCAGCAAATGCTGATACATTTATTCCGTTAATGTTTGCCTCCCTTGCGAAAATAGGAAGTGTGAGGAAACTGTCTTTGCAACTCTGATCGGACGTGCGGTCCGACTTTAGGCAGCAGCGAAATGATCCCACTTTAATAATAAAGGAGAGGTCACATTTCGCAGTGGGCTCGAGTCTAGCAATCGATCGGAGTTGCCGAGGCCCTACAGGGGCTGCAGAAGTTTTCTGATCAAATAGCAAGGGTCTTGTGGCTTTTGTGACCGTAGCACCCGCTCACGAGATTTGTTTACCCATATCTTTCGGCGCTCGATACGATCGAGTCGGCTACGACAAGGAAGAGCTGGCGTGCACAGAAATCAGCGAAGAAACTAGAAGGTAGTGAAATGAAGGCAAGATAAACAAAGAAAGAGATTGTTACACACCGCAACAAATTGAAGCGAAACATTTTGCGAAAAAGACTCCGTGCGAATTGCCGTGACCCGAAAGGATAAACATCATTCCCAAGATTTCATCTAGGCGGTCGATAATCCCGAATAACTCTGAGATTTTGAAGGAGACAGTACTAGTAAATACAAATAAATAATTCTGTGAGCATGAAAGAACGGGCACTAACTTTGATTGTTATGGAGTAAGCTTGTTGAGAGACGCTCGCCTGTCGCACACACCTTGCCCTCAGGACCGACGCCGCCGCCGATAATCTCTCGTTAACGTCGAAGACGTGGCCACTCTTGTAGAGATCTTCACCCTTTTTCGTAGTGGCATCGCGAAATATGGAACCTACTAAGACGTCTTTAAAACCGGCTCGAAGTACCAAGCCTCGGACTGCGGGCGCCTGCGCCGCCATAGCGTCCAGGTGCAAAGGGCGGCTGCAAGCTGCCGGACAAGTCTCGCAATGCAACACCAGCTCCGCCGCCAGTGGCGCTGCGTGCAGTCCACCGCGCCCCCTATAGTTCCCGCACGGAGTGCATAGAAGGGGTGATGACAACACATGTAAACTATTCTATATCGTCCCACATGGCAAAAGCAGTCTAGTTGTTTTAGATCGGCCTGCACACAATGCCATGCGTGCATACAATCAATGATGAAGTTACTTGTCACCATGTAAGCTGAACCACGGGTCATTTTCTGATGAAGTCCGGATTGCGATTTGAGTTCCATCAATGCATCCTGAACATGAAATGGTTGTGACAGCTTCAGCGAGGACATAAGGGTTTGACTTGTCAGTGCTAAAACACAGTTTTTAACAGTACAGCTGCCACCATGCTTTGCTAGGTGGAACAAGGAAAATGAACAGAGCATTCTGCAGCCAGTTGAACGACTGTCCGGGTTTGAGGTATAAGACCATTCCGTATGAACATAAACAGGCATCGCGTAGAAGGTTCTGCCATGGTGCAGCTCGTTTCCCTGAGTATACGGCCCGGCAGCATTCCGCATTAAGGTCGTAAGCTCGAAAGGGTCACCTGAGTCTTGAGCAAGCATGCTAACATGCAAACACTCTGATGTTGTACCAAATAATATAGTCATCCCAAATGTTTTGCTCTTTGATGAAAGCCCGAGACTGACGGAAACGACAGACGGCGACAAGGAAAGAGCAGGACAAGGTTTCGAAACGAGACATTCTTCTCTTTCCTTGTCGTCATTTGTCGTTACCTGTCTCTGGTTTTCTCTTAGCTACCTTGCACTCTTACATTGTATCCCAAATGCACAATTGTGGCATACGCCAACTCGAACGGTATCAGCATGTTTTTTGTGGGCCTGGTGCAATATTTTAAGTTGAAAAGGGGACCAAAACTACATGGTAAGAAAAGGTAATTACCGTCCGGTGATTGAAGCAGGCGCCCGGAGGCGTAGAGAAGCAGACCAGCCAAGTCAAGGGTCAGCGAGCATCTGTTCTTTTTCCACCCGGCCCTAGGCGCGTGCCGTTCGCTCGTGTTTATTGCGTCATATGCTGCACCGGTCGGCGTGAGACCGGTAGCGCCATCTCTTTTAATTCAAAGAATACAACACCTGGCTCAGTTGCAAAGAATCACCTCATTGCTGTCTTTCTTTGCAGCTGCCTGATTTTTTTGCGTTTTACCTTTGAGTGAAATTGATGCAAATAAGTCTTCACTTAGTGTTGGCCATAGTGACATCAGGTATAGCATAGTATGAATGTTTTCCAGAAATCACCAGTTTGGGAGCTTTGCATAGTGAATGGAGCTGTCCAGTACACTGTATTCACCCGAGCATCAGGGTCTTGGTGAGTAGGTCAATCTGTTTGGCGAAGACCTGCAGCACCAAAGTCATATCTGGATGGCTCTGACTGTACCAGAGAATGGAGATGGTCAGATTCTTCTAGCAAAAGTCCAGAGGCAACTCGTTAATAGTTATTTGCACTGACCAAATTGAGAACTTAGATGAATTGAAGAGCGGATTACCGTCCAAGTTCACCGTCATTGCCACATTCATCTTCTCGACGTTTAGCTCCTCGTTGTTTTCTGTACAAAGCTCCATCCGTAATGTCACCTATGGCAGCTGGGTCACAACGGTCTGGTATCTTCTGCAGGGAGGACTTCAGCGACCTGGTAACTTCTTCAGATGCAAGCACTGAAGTGAGCTGCTACTCCAAGTGAAGGCTGACAAAAAAAATGGCCTTCTCTTAAGAGCCCTTCTCCAGTGTACTTCTGGCCACACTGCACGCATGTCGCCTCAACTTGCTTCCTCTCCTTGAGGTTTCCTGCGGATTTCCCCAGAAGAAGCATGCAGCGTGGGCAATAAAAGGGGAAAGTTGAACACCCGAATGAAATCCGCACGAATTTCTGAAACAAGAACTTTGTATCGGGAAGGTCATCCCTTTCCTGAATGAAGCCAACAAACTTCATCAGGTTCTCCACTAGCATGTATGACATTCCAGACGTGACGCCAAAGTCCATTACTAACGTGACTAGTTCACGCGCTGAAAATTCGTGGTCGGCAGGAGCTCCGTGGCTGTTAGCACCTTTGCAGTTTTCCTCATTTGTCACTTGTGTACCAGAGTCCTCGCATTCGTCTTCGTCCTCTAAATCACTGGTGCTCTGCGAAGAATTTCCGGGGGTGGACGGTTTATTGTCCGCAAGTATGGTGGACACACCAGTCGTCAGGTTTTGTTTTGCGCATGGTGTCCGGTGCTCCGTTGAACTCGGTAGGCCGTCTTCATCGAAGAACTGCTCCAAGTAGAAGTTGTGCCGATTTGGCGTCCCAGACATGTCGGCGGTATAAGACGTTGCCACATGTCGCTCGGTAATTTTAAGTCAGCATTTCTCAAAAGAAACTAAAATAAACTACGTTATCTCAAAACCACTGCCAGATCTCAATAGGCCGTAGGCTGCATTTTTGGATTTTGTTGACGAAATAAAAATAAAAGATTACGGAAACAATAAAAAAAGGACAAAACGTCTTAGTTTAATAAGGCTTATTTAGATGATTTATTATAGTTCAATTTCGTTCATCAATTTTAACGCTTTAAGGGGGGTATGGCCTGGGAGGGTCAACTTTTGAACCCTTCACCCAATTTGGTTCAAATTTTGAGGGTTATTTCAGCACTACGAGGAAGGATAATCTGCTAAGTTTTAGCATTATCGGTGAACTTTACAGTATGCTACAATTTTTGCACTTTAGAAAAAAGACACTTCATTAGGAAGTCTATCGTAAAAAAATAATATTAGCTGGTGGCAAACTGCCTGCTTCAATGAGAAGAACAATACCCACAGTGCAACCTGGATAAAAAATATATTGCAAAATATTCAATTGTGATGAAAATAGCAACATCCCAAAATTAAATAAAAATTGTAAAATTTTCATGTTTCAATTTTTTATTTTTTTTCATGAAGGAGTGTATTTTTTTTAACTGTGAAGTAGTCTATCTTGTTCCCCAGAAAATTTCAGTCCAGAGAACCTTGAATGATGTCCCTCATTATTCTGAATGTCAAACGATAGCTTTCCTAAAACAAGAATTCCTGTCAAAAAGTGAAACTGAGAAAAATGCAATTGAAGTTTCAACTTCTGTTTTTTTTATTTTCGGACGATGCCAGAAACTTGAAATCCAACCGAGTCGTTGGTGGCACCTTCAACTTCATGAGCGCATTGCTTGCTGGCAGCAGCTTGCGGCTTGTTTCTCAAAATCCGCCTGGGGCATAGGTGGCACCTTCGACCTCCGGGCTCTGTTGCTCCCTGGCAATAGCCTCCAGCTTCCGTCTTTTGTGTGCGAGCTTTGATGAGTCCTGTGCCTTCACTCTGGCCTTCACGATCTTCCCCAGAGTCGCCTTGTGGGCATGCTTCTCCTGGTGGCTTCCTGGGGTGATGCCCATCTCCTGGAGCGTCCTTTCAAAACCTTTAGGTCCAAGGCTGAACTCGAGAACAGCTAGGGCGACAGCTGTCTCTACAGTTTGCAAGGAGGCGAACTCCGTCTTGGGGCATCGCTTCCAAATAAGGGCGTTAAAAGACTCATTCGCATTTTGTGTCATCGTGCGGGAGCATCGGAGGAGCAACTCCTTTCGCGACAGCCGGTTGTACACTGGAACAAGCTCTCCTGCAATGTCTTTGGAGAATGCTGGTCTGTGTGGCCGTGGTGTCGAGGGCTTCCCTGCTGCTTCAAGGACCTTGCGGCGGTTATAATGGCACCACAAATCCTCGCCATCTGGACAGCCCATGTGACGGGGTTCCCCGTCTGTGGAGTACGTGTGGAACAGGCTGGCAAAGATGGCTCGCTGCATCTTCATGACATCAGGTGCGTTGTCCTTCAAAGCGCAAGCATAGTAGTTCATCAGCTTTTTCATCACTACGTTGGTCAGCTTCCCTTTTCCTCCCAGTCCTTTTTTGTTTTCTTGAGTTTCTCCAGACCTGCATACATCCTCTTTGCTACGTGATTGACGCAATCTTCCTTGTGGATGTCCTTGTCGTACAGGTCAAGGCTGGACACATGCGTGAAGGCCTTGCTGTCGCCGTCGCACAAAACAGTGACGTACTGCATATTGTGTAGCTCAATAGACCGGCTGAAGATGGTTGCAGCCGCCTGTGCCTCCATTGCATTGGACGATCCCTCATAGTTCTGGCAAGTTGCCTTGTGGGTTTCTGCCCACTCCTCGAAGTGTTCGTCATCTTCCTTGGGGCCCAACTCGCACCCGTGGCAATACTCACTCTGGACTAAAAGTCAAGCACCAAGCCGGTCTCCAGTTCAATAGCAACGCCAACTCCGAAGTGCGATGTATGGCCACGTTTATGCCACGTGCCATCGTAGCTGATGCAGACATCTAAACGATCGCTGCCGGCGCTCGGGTTCCCGGTCGGTTGCGCATCCCTCACGGCTTGCGCAGCGTCCCTCATTGCGTCACTCGCCGCTTGCATCGTCGCATCGTGCACTTTCGCCGCGATCTTCTGGTACGACTTGACGTGCATCGGGGGCGGAGTGTTTAGGCCCCCGAAAAGATCCGTGAGCTTCGTAAAACTGATGCCACAGTCTCTTCCAACGACGCCGAGACGCACCACGAGTTCGTTCTGTCGATACTTGCCAATTGACGGTGAATGCGGTGTCGTGACGATGTCTCCGCAAGTCGAGCAGCTAACAACGAACTGAAGGTTGACGCCAATTCCTTCTTCTCGCAAGCTCAGCAGTTGTCCGTGGCACTTGGGCTACAGGCTACAGGTGCTTTTTGCACATCACCCGTGTTGAGTTTGTATGCAGACACCTTTTTGATGTCTGTTGAGAAGCGTAGACAGTACTTTAGTCTCTCTTCAGTTTGCAGGGTCTATTCTAACCCGGAACATCCATCCTACAGTACCATCCATACCTGTTGATTCTCTCAACTTTTAGAAAACAAACCATGTATTGTATGTCCTATTAACTTTTTCTTTCAAAGCCTTAGTGCCTCCCTCCAGTTTCCACTCAATGATGCTGTCATATTAAAGCACAAAGAAAAAGTTGATTTGTCGGACGAAGTGCCGATTTTCTGCGACTGGTCGTTCACTAAGTGTAATAAACGGTCTATTTGTTCTCAAACCAGGCAGCAGGAGCTTCAGTCATTGCAGGAGATATATAGAGGTTATACTGAATTCTATACTGATGGGTCGAAATCTTTGTCTTCTGTTGGTTGTGCCGGATATTTTGGTTCCTTTGCGGCAGCTTTGCGAATGGATGGTGTGGCAAGCATTTTCTCTGCAGAGCTTTATGGTGTCTCTCTAGCCATTGAACATATTATGAGCAATAACATATTAAGACTAGCCTCTTTGTCGATTCACAGAGTGTGATACAGCCTATTTCGTCTCGAATTCCCACAAAGAACCTACTTGTCCTACATATACGGTTTAAAATAAACCGGGCTGTCCAACTGGGACACAACTTAAAATTCTGCTGGGTACCCAGTCATGTCGGAATTTCAGGGAATGAGAGAGCGGATAAACTGCCTGCATGTGGAAAGCACTCGGCAACACATCTTGGCTTACCCCATCAGGACCTTGGGCCACTTTTGAAGTCATGGCGATCGGAGTGGGACACGGAATTCAACAATAAACTTCATGTCATTAAACCTATCTTGGCTCTGTGGGAGACCTCGTTCCATAAAGACTGTCAACTTGAGGCTCTGGTATGCCGCCTGAGGATTGGCCATTCACGTCTAACTCATCTACATCTTCTTTGTGGCGAAGACATAAAGCTCTGTTATCATTGTGGGGAAGTGCTGATAGTTTTGCACATTTCATGGCATTGTAGATTTTATCACCAACATCGCCGACAAAGATTTTCCTGAACTTTTTAGAGGTCACCTTCCATTTCATTCTATGTTTCTGCTTGGTGATCATCCTTTAGTATCACTTGACTGTGTTTTTGACTTTTTTAAAAAGACTGGATATATCAGTCAGCTATAACTTTTATTATGAAAACTATAATATCTCCTAGTATAGCCGTCTGAAGTAATTTTGTTTGGTGCAATATGGCCCAAGTTGCTTGTGCGCCATAAAGCCCCGATCATCATCATTACAAACAACACGTGCAATGATGCGGTTGTTAACGGGCGTCAGCGAACAGACACAGTAGTACAAACAGTTTGGATGTTAGCCTTCAAACTGTACATAAGAAATGATAAACCAACGATCAATAAACGAAGTCTAAACAGGGAGCTTTGAAGTGGTTTCAAGACAGCTATTTATACAACCATTTTTTATCTTGCAATACTTCCCACAACTACAAACTGGTAGCAGCGCACAAAAAAATACACAGACGCTACATTGCTTACATAACGAGGGTGATTATAAGCTAGTTGCTTTAACAGTAATTACAGGCTAATGTGGTTAAGAATACTGCTGTGTTCAGTTTGCACTTTTAACCTTTTAAATGACATGAACCAACAAGATCCAACCAGCGTTTTACGATAGATGAAACCTGAACTCAAACTGCCAACATGACAGGCTTCGGCTCTTTTTTTTTTATAATTTAAGTCCCTCACGAGCACAATATTCCAAAGTACTCACTGGTATGTGCTGTACGTGCTTGTTCGTCAAACTGCTTAGGACTCTTTGTATGCGTATAGTAGTACATTCAGGGCACTTTTGAGCTGCAAATGTGTTCCAAAAGCCAGGGGTAGTCATAATGAAATAAGTTTAATTATAATGCAATTAAATGCAAAGGTGCAAGCGAGCTGGACGAGAATGACAAAAATAATCCCTGGAGAAAATAACCTTTGGGGGTAAATGAGTTTACTCTCGCTTAACACAACACAAAAATAACAACAACACTGACGTTTTGCCGGCATCATCAGTGTGCGCTGGCCCCGGTGGTGGGGAGAGCCAAAACCAGTCCACTCTAATCCAACAGATCCCCATAAATGCCTGGTAGGGGGCGACGCTTTACGTTGCTCGCCTTGGGGTCACGGCGGATAAACCAGGATTTGACGAGCTTCCTCAAGTCCCAACGCTGCTCACGAGCCAAGGTTGACGCATTGTCAAAGTCAAAAGTATGCCCAGTCATCCGGCTGTGTTTTACGAGCTCGGATTTACTTCTCTAAGGCGTGCGCGGCCTCCACCATATCCCCTCGGTGCTTCTTAAGCCGGGTGCTTCTCCGTCTGCCAGTTTCTCCAATGTATCTGGCGTCGTAGTCAACACAGTTCACCTTGTAAACCACACCTGTCTGAGTGTTGGCGGGGTAATGTTTTTCGGCTTAAAAAACATGTTCGCTAAAGTGTACACAGGCTTGAACACAGTGCAGATACCCGAAGAGGTAAAAGCTGTAAAAATAACTTATAAATAAACTGGGCTAGTAACATCAGAGCCGAATAGCAAAAAGAGATTCTTGAAATTTTTAGTTACATGCAGCAACACAAAAAAAAAAAAAGAGTGAACAAGTTGTGCTGACATTAAGTCGTCACCAGTCTGGCTGACATTTTGGCATGCAGTGTACACCCACGGTCTTGGTGTGCATTTAAGGTTTACACGCTTCAGATGGAAAATGGCGTGACAAAGGAAAAATTCAACAACACAGCCCGACCTAGCACCATGGCAGTGACATTTTTTCCTCGCACATTTCATTTGCTTGTAGATTCGCATGGACTGCAGTTTTGGAAAGATGTGGTTAACAAAAAAGCTCTCTGCTGCAAGTTTTGCAGCTGCCCAGAAATTCTTATCAGAGGTTATAACCACTGATCTCTATTTTAGTAGGCTGGATCGCGGATCGGGAGCCTGTCGGTGTCACCACCGGCGGCCATTGCTTGACACCAGGCGATACATGCAAGTCTATGGGAGAAACGCACAAAAGTAAGCATATTGAAGCATGTACGCTGTGCTTGGAGGCAACTATCTTATGGTGCGCTGCGATCCTTATGTCGGGTGTTTGGAGATCGAATCGGTATTTGTCAAACGTTCGGTCGCCGAATAAAAATATCAAACGTACCGGAGCACCTTTGGCTGAGCTGGCAAGCTTGCTCTCGTAGTGGAGTAAACAAAGGAACTTGCCGTCAATAACGTCCTTAGGGAAGCTCAGAAGTTTATGATAGACAAAGAAGTTCCATCTCGACAGCGGTTTTCCGGGAGTGAGCGAATTCCGCGTAGCACAGCCTTCGAGCTTGTCGTCTGCTAAACCCAACTCAACGAAACCGCCACCGACTCCGCGGTAACTCTAGGTAGCTCTTGCCTCATTGAGCTGCACTACAGCGGAGTCACTCTTGACCACAAAATAGTTATTTATCAGAACTGCGAGGACTGTCAGTTTTAATGTTTGTACGCAAGCTATTTGACGGGCTTATCGAAAAGCATCCAAAAAGTTTCAGTGCCGACAACAGCTTAGAAACGGGAAAACGTCACTTTTTCTTGTTCTTCCCATAGAGTCCCATGCATTGGCTGGTGTCAATCAATAGCCACTGGTGGCGACACTCGGCCCCAGCTGCCGAGGCCGCGGTTTGCGATCCAGCCTACTACAATAGAGATCAGTGGTCATAACCTCAATAGAACATATGTGAAATTCTTTGTAGCTATCATCATCACGGAGTAGGGCCTCGTCAAGCTGCAAGCCACGCAGCTTTTTGCCCTATCTCCCTCCTTTGTAAAAAAAAAGGAAAAAATAAATTATTATAAAAATTATTATTATCTTCATACTCGTGAAAGACGCGCCGCCACGTTGGGGGCTCTTGTCATCTTGAGTCGTGCTCTTTACCGTGTGGTCTCGCCTCTTCTAGTAAACTCTTCATAGTTATTGCTTCTTGCGATGGCATCGGACTGGACTCAGGGCCCTTCCGAGGTGCTAGAGCTCCAGGGATGGGTTTGTGAATTCGTACTGCGAGTCGAAGACGACCTCCAGCAGGCACGCACATCGGAGCAGTAGTGGTGGCTCCCTAATCTTTCGATTCTCGAGATCGTTTCGGGGACGCGCTGAAGGTCTGTGGAAGAAATAGCGCGAAGCACCAGCCCTTAAGTTGCAGCTGCCGAAATGAGATATTATGCATGCACTCCCGTTTTCGATATTCTTGCTTTCAGTGCAAGCGCACTGACGTTCTTGGTGCAGTGGCTGCGCGTGCACGAGAAATGTACATGTACGGGTGCAGTCATTCTGCTGTGAGAAGCAACTTGCACGAGGCGTTCAACAAGCAGCGGAACAGCTCTAAACGGTTGTAACGAATCGCGATGGCTGGATGGCCGTTCACTATAACAAAAAATTATGCGTGTATGAAGCTCACCTTGTTTCAAAAGGGATCTTTGTAATCACTCCGCGTCCATTGTGGAACACAGCAGTACCGGGGCATGCTTATGGAGCCTGCATTTTCCGTTTCGGCTAGGATGCTAGGATGCAAGCTCGGACACTCGGGCGAGTACGGACAGCACGGCGGAGCACCCTCCAACATGGCAGACATTTGAAGTTTGCGCACAGTAAACCAGATAGTGCTATTCATTTTTGCATATGGCCTATGTCTATAAAAGGTTCCGTGAACACAGCAAAGTATGCTTGACGGAGCTTCGTGGCCGCCATTTGTGCTTGTACTTGTGCATAATAATTGTGAACATGCCTTAGCTGCAGGTTCTCATTCAGATAAGGTAAACACTTGGAAGTCTTAGTGAGGGAGGCACCTTTCATTGGTGCGGCACACTTGACTTCCAGGACTGCCTTCTTGCAGCATGCACAAAAGACAGTGGCATCAGGAGATGCAGCTAGGAAGGGCAGGCTTTCTACAACAAACGGACCTCACTCATTTACCGTAATATCCCGAGTCATCGCCCACCCCCCAACCGCCTGAAATTCGTTAAAAAAGTGGGGTGGGCCATGTCTCGGTGGGTGAGCACAAACACTTAAAAAAAAAACGGAAAAAACCGCCTATTTTTCTCTGCGTATCTAGCGCTGATGCACAAGAGATACATCAAACTCAAAACTCGATTTAGTTTCATTGTTTTATAGAAAAGAAATGCTCACGAAAGAATATTTTACTATAGCCAAGTCCGTTGCTTGCATACGCACTAGAAACACCCCCGATCTGCATATAGCACGAACGTTTGTTCCGTGAAAGAATGTCACCATTATGTTCTCCTAGTTAGTAAAAAAAAAAAAGAAAGAAAGAAAAGTCTACAAGAAAATAGAGAAACCGACCAGGCACAACGAGCGAGCGAGCGAGCGAACCAAAGAAGCGACCAAGAGCAATGCCGGGAAAGCGGGAAAGCCGGCCGTCGCGTTGGCAAATACTTTGGCGTCGGGCCAAGTCGGGCGCCTTGTCAATTGCAAGCTCTTGCGCAACTTTCTTGTTTGGTGGGTACATACGTGCGTCCGTGCACGGCGGGCTATCAATGCACGGTTGGGACGCTCTGCAAACGTCTGTGTAGGACGTTCCAGCAAAGCTCTATTTACGCTTTGGCTTTGCCTAAAATATTGCACAACAGCGGTCGCGACGGGCGGGAAGAAGGAGCGGGTTCGCGGTGACCTTACTTCGGCAAAGACAGACTTTGACCTAACACTCCGCGGTTACCTTAACAAACTCTTATTTTGTTATCTCCATCGTTTTCTTTTCGCACGGATACACGACCACTTTGGGGTCGCTCACGGAGGAAATGCGTAAACAAAAAGAAGTGTCTTTCCCTCCTTCGTTTTACTTTGCCGCGGCCGCGTCATTCGGGTAGGATGAGTGTTCGCGGATCCCAGAGTCCGCGCTGGGGTATTTGAAGGGGTGGGCGATGACTCGGTGTTTTTTCGGAAATCGATATTGGCCCAAAAAATGGGGTGGGCGATGGCTCGGGGATGGGCGATGACTCGGGATATTACGGTAGTTGCAGGTCTTTATGTTTCAGAGATTCCTTTGCGATAAATGCTCGTTTAGATTCTGGTTTCTTTTCGGAGCCCCAACGGAGGTTTGAAATACAAGGTGCTTTTCTACACCTCATATCTCTGCCACGAGGCCATCGGCACCACACTTGATGTATGTTCCACGGCAGGTGCGAGATGGTTCCATGTATACGGGTAAAACAGCACGAACACGAACACAGGACAGAGAAGATGCAAACAGACAGAATGCTGTCAACTGTTTATTTTGAAAGAAACGCTCAACGGCATGGTCACAAACACATGATCATCACAAGTTAAAGCCCCTCAAAATTGCCAACTCGCATTGAGGGGAGGCACGGCCTAAAAATCGCAAGTTTTGCGAAAAAAACGCATTTTTGAAAATCAGTTTTATCATCATCTACAACTAATAAAGAATGCTCTCACAAACTTTTATACTCGTGCGTAAAGGATTTACTCCGGAATAAATTATTTTCGATACGTCGGCGGCCACGCGCGCTCTCCAGAAACGCGAGCACACCCGCGCGTTTGCCGATTTCAAAGCGCGCTAGCCGCTCGTTGGCTAGGCCTAGCGTGGCGTGGGACCCCTCGTTGGAAACAGCAGTTCTTTCTCTTTTGTTTACGCCCCGGCTTTTCGTTCAACGCCGGACATTCAGGCGAGAGAACCCCTGCGAAAACATCATTCAGAAAGAGCTATGAAACGCTCTAAGGGCTCCTATTGGGCAGCTCGACTCATTCGGAGCTCTGATTCGCTCGGACACGCCACGTGACTAAAAAGAGACTCGCTCGCCCGCGTGAACGCTTGTTTCGTTTTCTACCTGCGTAGCGCGCGCGCTCTTGCTTTTTTTACGGTCTTCGAGTTTGTCGATACGATACCGGCGGTGAATGGCAGGAAATCGTTTCTGTTTGGTGCTCGGAAGCGTAAGCGTGGAAAACCGAGAGGCATTGAAGGAGGTCGACCTCGCAAAACCGCTGCACCGCCGTCCCCGAGTCGCCCGGAGTCGTCGGAAGAATCGCTGTCTTCAAGCCCGGCACCGTCTCCTGGCCCATCGCCGCCTGAAGACTTGGACTTGGACTGTGTGGGACAATCGAGGCTTCTGTCGCCGCTTCCAACTCCTGACACCCCAAAGGAAGATGAGCTGACCGCGATTGAGCGCAAGATGGAAATGCTACGATGGGACGAGTGCTCCGGAGAGCCGCTAGGCCTAGATGAGAGCCGTGACAGCGGCGAACTCGAAGGCTACCGCTTGCTCGAAGTTTCTTGTGTCAAGGCTTTGGTGGGAGCTCTGCTGTGCCCAGAGTGTGCCGGGTCTTGCCTGGAGCTAAAGGAAAGTGGCCAAGGAGCACTCCTCGGGTTTATCGTCGAGTGCCCGTCGTGTGGAGAGGTGGCGAGCGCACCGCACTCGTCGAACATCGGCGACACTCGCCAGAATGAACTTTCTGCGCGTATCGGACTAGCCGCACGCCCCTTAATGGCGTACACGCCCCTTAATGGCGGCTCAAGGCCCAAAGCCAGGGTCTCAGGAATATGAAGAATGGTTTGAAAGCCACAGCCCTGACTGTCAAAAGAATTTCCAGGGGTCTGCTCATGCCATGGAAGTGGAAGCTGCTTCAGTCATTTTTGGGCGTTCTGTGGAGCGACACAACATGCAGTATACCACGGTACTCTGCGACGGTGACAGCAAAGCGTTTTCAAAGGTTGCTAGCCTTGGTCTATACGACAAGGAAGTGAAGAAAGAGGATTGCATCAACCACGTTGCAAAGCGTATGTATGCTGGCCTGGATGCTCTGAAGAAGGCAAAGAAAGGCCTTGGTGGAAAGGGCAAGCTGACGAACGTGAGGATGAAGCAGCTGACAAATTACTATGCCTGCGCCCTGAAGGACAATGCCCCAGATGTCCCAGCGATGCAGCGGGGAGTGTTTGCCACACTCCTGCACTCTTACTCGACAGACGACGAGCCACGACACACAGCTTGCCCCACTGGAAGAGACTCCTGGTGCCACTTCAACAGGAGCAAGGCACTTGAGGCTGCAGGAGAGCCACCTGCGTCCAGGCCCCACAAGCCAGCCTTTTCCAGGGAGTTAGCCAAGGAGCTGGTGCCCGTCTACAATCGCCTTTCGCGTAGGGACTTGCTCGAGCGCTGTTCGAGGATGAAAACTCAGAACGCAAATGAATCGTTTAATTCTCTAGTGTGGAAGAGGTGCCCCAAGGTGGAATTTGCCTCCCTCAAGACCGTCGAGCCAGCTGTGGCTCTGGCAGTCCTCGAATTTAACCTGGGACCTCGAGGCTTTGAGCATGCCCTTTCCGAGATGGGAATCAAGCCAGGGAGCCATCACACCGTGCATGCTGCGAAGGCCACCCGAAAGAAGATCGGAAAGGCCCAAAAAAAGGAACTAGAGTCGTCCAAAGCGTCGCACAAGCGGAGAAAGATGGAAGTCGTGGCTAAGGCGCAGAAGGACCGTGAAGAGGAAGGACTTACCTATGGCCCTGGAGCGTTTTAAGTGATATAGTAAGCACTGTTTTCAGCCGAACACTGTTTGAACTTTCAAACACATTTTTCTCAGTTTGTCATTTTGAACACTTTTCCATTTTTGAAAAACTATAATTTTTTAGAGTTTGGACTGAGACTCCTGAAGTGTTGTTTTTCTGGAGTGAAATTTACTGAAGAATTTAGTAAGGCACTTTGTTTTTAATAATTTTAAGTTGTTCACCAAGAAAAAGTTGATTTTAGAAAAAGTCATATGAGAGAAAAATGAAGCCATTTTTAAATTTCCTGTTTTCATGCTGATGCTTGCTATATTAAATATTGCTACATACCTTACTTTGTTCATCACTTATTGAACATTACATATATGCAAAAAAAGTTGGAATTTTTCTCTTTTTTTTTGAATGATAGATTTTTTTCGTTGGTGCTGCATCAGTCTTCTTTTTTATAACAAATTGCACCGTAACTTGGCAAAAAATCTTCCCTGTTGGTTGAAATTTTGCATGCCCTCCCAAGTTTGCATAACTAACATATGGTAAAAGTTTCATTGCAATCGGCAAACTATTAAAAAAGTAGACCCCTGTAGGCCGTGCCTCCCCTTAATAAAGATCTATCGAAGGCACGCTGACACAGTTGTCTTTGAACTTGGAAATGTAAAAGGCCTCAGTAATGTCAAAGATTTCTTCTCTGTGCTGTGTCCATGTTCACGCTGTTTTACCCGTAAACGTGCTTCACCAACTAGCCCAAACTTCAACAGGATGCTGCCATGCCCGCAGGCGGGCACATAGAAGAAATGTTCAGGTGCCAAAAGACCCTCCAAAATTTCACTTTATTAGATATATATATATATATTTTATTGTGTGTGATTGCAGCAACACCTTGAAACACCCCCCGAAAATATTTTCTGGCTACGCCACTGCCCACGGGGTATCCTGAGGAGAGAGAGAAGTTAGGCATGAGTCCTAGAAACTGGCATGTTCAAACATTTTTAGAAATACCTTCACGTTAATTCCCTTCGAGGTACATCTGTCGTACTAGTTGATTCAGAATTATGTTCAATTTAATAAAACAACTGGTAAATTACCTTTTTATAAAGGTGCAATTTTTTTTATATGCTTATATTTTGACACCAACTTTCCTTTTTAATTTCACAGAATGGCAAACCCCAGATTTCCTCCTGATTATTGTCATTTGTCAAGATATTTTGATTTTTTCCAGTAAAGTGATGTGAGACCTTCCATGTGTCAAAGTTACGAAATCATTAAGCTTGAAAAGCAATTCATCACGTTCAACCATTTTAGAAGTCACGTCTGACGTACAAGTGCCTAAGAAATTAACCGGGTCACATAGACTGCGTTTCTCATGCACTTTCTATTTCACGAAACTTTCCTGATGGCTGCACATCCCTGAGAGTGAACAGTCATGTCACAAAATTTAAAACTATCAGATAAAACTTGGTAACATTGTCAATGTCAATGCATCCATCAGCAGCAGTCGGAAACAGTCTAGAGGCTACTTACAATGTTCTTGATACGTATGCATATGCTTTTACACAAGTGCGAGCATAGCTTGTTGCTTCAGAGTTTTGACAAGCAAAGGATGGAGGGGCAATGTCGCTAATTGTCCTATCAAAAACATTTTTAACGGCATGCAAGACATCAATAATTGAGAAAATGTCACAGTCGATAGGATAATAAAACAGCACTGAAGAGATGAGTTTACGACAAAACTGTATAACTTAGCGGATCTAGCTTATGTGTAGCTGCGCTAAGCCGACCCGTGCCGGACAAGTATACCCATAGGGCAGTCATCTGGGTCAGTCGGTGGTGGATACAGCTGCCCCCAGGTGAAAATTCAAAGTGGGACCACTTTAAAGTGGTATTTGGAGCAGGTCCCACTTTGGAAGTGGGACCACTTTAAAGGGGTCCCACTTTGAATTTGGACCTTTTTGCCTACTTTCCATGGGCATTAGGCATCAATGAGGTACCTACGCATATTCTTGTGGCTAATTTTGACTACCGAACAGAACATGTCGTCGAGAGAATGATTGATTTATTTCTCTGTTGGAAAGTAAGAAAAGGATGTACAAACAAAGAAAGTTGTTTAGCTATCTGCAAAATCTCCCTAATCCTGCATCAGGCCCATGCGCCTGAACTCCCTTCTTGTGTCCTGGATTTTCTCAGACAGAATGGCGTTCATGTTGGAAAAGGCACCGCTGGCCTCAACATTCTTTGCCCGGCCTCAGTGTGTCTATGTTTCTGTGAAATAAATTCAAGAAAAAATTCCAGCATTAAATTAGATCTATGTGAGACCCACTTCATAACTCACGCACCAAGGATGAGGGACTCCTTTTCTGGGATTAGCTCCTTCCAAGCAGAAGCACCCAGGCTCTTCCTGTCCTTTGGAGCAAGTTTCCTCGCGTAGCTCCTCTCCACCAGCGTCTTTGACCCCCAAAGGATCTGAGCAGTATCTTTTGCAAACTTTGCAGGTCCCGTGTTAGCGTATATATGATGCCTCTGTTCTTCAGAGATAGTAACCCCGAATAGAAAGAAGCAAGAGCGAGTTGCAAAATCAAAATGGGCGATCCGACTTGCGGCATTGCTGCGGGACGCCTCCATCTTTCAAGATGAAGGGTTTTAGTTTCTCATACTGCCGGATTGAATAATGAGGTCGTAAGGTTTGTGCATGCTAGAGACCAAAAGTGGGGGCATCGAAAAGCACTACACAGAAAAAAAAATATGTTTATTGCATTTACAATCTCCCCCCCCCCCCTTTAGGTTGTGGGGCAGCCTGCCCAAGTAGGGCAACGTTTTTTCACCCGTTCTCTAAAACAAATACTGGTTTTTAGCACTTCGGCGGCTTTGTATGCTGCCGTTGCCGCCCTCACCTCCTCCTCTACCGCCTTTAGTTTGGCGAGGAGACATCGCCTTTCAAGCTTTATTCCTCCTGTTGTGCAAGCACATCTTGGTAATACTGTTTGTCAGCAGCCCGTGTTCCAGCTGTTGAGCCTTTGGGCAGCGTGCTGGGCCTCCAGGCTGGTCGTGAACGAGGTGGTTTCTGCCGACGTCGGCCCGGCAGTGCCAGTCTCTCTTCATCAGCAGCTGCTGTCTCAGGCAGTCCCTCTGCTATTGGCGGAGGCCCTTCCCAGTGTGGCAGAGCAGCTGCTACACCAGGCTTCAGAGGTGCCTCATCCTCGTCCAGCAGCTAGTCCGGAGGCTGATAGTTTTCCGCTTCTTCGGATCCCGGCACTTGAAGGAGACCCCAGGGGCCACCTCAACCTCGTAGATGTGGCCCCGACCTTCTGGCACCACCTCGTCAGTCGTCGGCTGGACATTGACTGGTGCTGTGCTAACCCAGAGGAAAATACACAGAATCTGTACCATGCCACCCTTGTCCAGAATTTGAAAACTCTTCTTTGTTTTTTAGTCATGCTTTTTGTGTGCATGTGGATGAATCACGGTTCCTCAGCTCTCGGCCGTTGCGGCTATCTGTCATGAAGGCAGCTGGGCTCAAGTAGAGCCAGTCTACAGTGTGCAGATCATGCCCGATCTTAGCTGTTGCAGCTATTGCTTACTCTTCCGGCCCCTCAGCAGAAAGTGAAGAAACTTATCTTCAAGCGCCTGCGCAGAGCAACTTCATGGCAGATACGCCCGTGGATACAGGGCAGCTTTCCATAGGTCAAGGAACTGCCGCGAAGCAAACATGTGCACGACAACCTTCCGCAAGGTTGTGGTACGATTGGCGTTTTCAGCAGCACCCGTGACTTCACTGCTTTCGCCATTCCTCTTAAGGGAAGGGAGGTGTAACGGTGCTTTTACTCTGGCAACCTGCTGCATCGTGGGCAGTGCCACCGCTGGCCTATTTAAGGAATGCACCATTAAACTTTATCCTCTTTTCTTCAATCGCTACCCCACGGCTCGTGTCCTTATTCGATACAAGCTGCTGTTGTATAATTTAGCCGAAAATGCGGCTGGAAATCTTCATTTCCAGCTGGAAGCTGCAGCTTATTTTCATGTCTGTTTTTTAAAGTTCTGCATAAAATACTGACCGGAGACTACCTGAACTTTGGCCGGTGTCGACTGCTTAGTGTTGAGGTCCCCTGGCAGCAGAGGTCCCCTGGCAGCAACCTCCCGCACATTCTTCACTGAGCCAGTGTTTTCGTGCCCCAAAATGGCTTGGGCAGCATCTAGTACACCAATTGTCCTCTTTTTGTTTTTAAATATTTTTGACGCGTTCTTTGCGTCGATGAAGGTGTTGTTGCAGAGGTGAAACTGGAGAAAAAGTAGACATATAATGTAGAAGATGTAAACAAATGCATGCACCATTTTTTTGCCATAACTTCAAACGTCGTAAGTGACACCACACAGCCAATCAAAATAAACCATATATGTGAATCTTGTTTAGGTGACTTAACATTGAAAATAATTATGCAACTCTTTGAGAACTGTACTCACGCATTCATCACCAGTCGGTGAGAAGTTTGGCACTTCATCCATGGGAGACTGGGCATCTGGTGCAGCTGGGGGCTCGGCTTCTGGGGCCTGGATTGGTGCGGCTGGGAGCTGGTCATCTAATGCTGCCACAACAACTGCACCAGGCTCTGCAGCTTTGGAAAAAGAATATCAAAATGCTACACAGAAGGTGTGCTGTACAGGTGAAGAAAAGGCCTAATGGAAAACCACAACGAAAAGTTCCAGCGGTGATCGGAAGCTGCACATGATTGTCATTTGCATCAAGAAAATGGACAGTCAATGACGATGGGGTGTTTTATGAATAGTTACTTAAAAAAACTGTTATGCTTACAATTAGCTGCAGCACGATACGGCATTATTCGCCTCGAGATCGAACCGTGTCGCCACCGTGCGGCCGAAATTGGAAACGCGCGAAAGCGGGGATACCGCCGTGCGTCGTCTGCTACGGGCGCACGCTCAGAAGCATGGATCTCGACGATGCAAGCCCGTTTCAGGCTGAGCTTGACATTCCTTATTAATTGTTTTGTGTTTTTGTTGCCGTTTCTTCTTACTAAAGGTTGTGTTGTATCGTTTCCCAAGTGTGGAAATTCAGCAAAGCGATTACTATTAAGTCGGAAGCTTCCATAATCTGTGTTGGTTTGTATACAATCGCTGGTCCCACATATTTTTGTTATCTCGCACAAACCGTGGCTTTCACAAAGCATTGAATGTTGAGTGGGTCTGTGTTTCGATGAGAAAATAGACCCGACTGATCGCTATCCTTTAATAGACTAATCAATCAATAAATTCGTGTGTTAATTTTTCGCTGGTCATAGTGCATGAAAAACGTTAAAACTACACATTTTTTCTTACTGATATTACGATGTCATAAATGGCATAATGCATTCCCATTCTAAACTTCACGTTGTGAGTCCTACATAAATATGAACACTGGAAGCATTTTAAGATGAAGTATTTTTTTTAGTTATATTTTAAAGAGTATAACCGCCCTCGGTGAAATGACAAGCAAGCTGAAGTGGTTTACCGTGCAAGCCTGTGTCACAAAAGAAATAAAGATGTCAAAAATATTAAAGCAGGCATTTTTTACTCCTCGACTTTCTCCAGCACAAGACTCCAATTAACCGGCAAAAAAAAATTGTAATTAAAGCATTACTTGAATAATCTGAAAGTTAATCGATGAACTGCCCAGTCCCGATATACGTTAGGTGAGGACGGAGGGTGATCGGAAAGTCTCGTGAAGGTCGGCAGCCCTCATCAGTAAAAGAGTATCCCTGCGGCCGATACTGTCTGTGTCGTGGTGCGCGTCGTTTGTTGGGGTTGCAGAGTCTACTGTGTTATATTACAAGATTATTTAGCTAGAAATTTATAGTATTAGCCTCTTGACATCCGCGGCCCTCACCAAGAAACTTCAAGCGGGTGAACACACACTACCGAGAAAAGCATTTAATAACAGGAACATTGCTGCGTTGCTCGGTTACACTCGTTTATTGAAGTCTCGGCAGATATATTAGAACAGTTTGTTTCACTTGTTTCAGTTGTCCTGCCAACTGTGCAGTTTGCAGATCTTAATTAGAAGAGACACACCCTCCTCATCGCAACGCAGTTGATTTGTTCAGACTCCAAAAAACTTACCCACAATATGGCACAGTAAAACGGCAGAGGAACTCAGTAGCAGGGTAATTTCCAATACAGCGCTAACTTATCTTCATTTTAAATATTTATATTACTGCAAAAGCTAGAAGTTTACCCCCAAAAAAAAAACATAGAAGCTACGATTTCACAGCCCACAGTACCAATACTATGTTATCTGGGTTGGAATTTATTGTTCGTTTTTTTTTTTAATGCCCATGTTGATGAACCGATACATTCATTTTAAAAGAAACAAATATTTAACATAAATATTCCAGTTCAGCCGGAGACAGGCATCAGTCGTGGCGATCCATGCTTTCCAATGCCTGCCTAGAGCAGACGACGCACCCACAGAAGCGATTATATAAATTTAGACCGCACGTTGGCAACACGATTCGATCTTCACTGAAGCACCGAACAGTACCGCATCCTTTTCCGCTAGAATTGTTTTCCCACCGATAGTATGCGACCAAATAAACGCAAAAATCTACGCCGTCTCGCGCGCGAACGTGGAGAGCCTATGGGGCGGCCGTTCTCCTATCCCCGCTTTGATGATGATGATAGCGCGACCGTAGCTCCACCTCTAGGTCGATCTCGAGGCCAATACTCTGAAAGCACTTTCCAGAAGCGAGCTTACTTTGATTAAATCCTCCAGTATGTTTTTTCTGTGCTACGTAGTACTAATGCAACACAGCACAAGCACACTGAAAGAGAAGGTATCACAAAAAAGCACGAGCAAATAATCTATAAAACTTTTAGCACAATGCACTAAAATATTTTGTAATTTTTCACCAATAGTTAACACAAAGCAAAAAGCAACTGCATTTACCTCCAAAAAAATCAAATCCGTTGGTAGATGGTTCCACTGCAGATGTTTTGACTTGCTACTGAGTGCCTGGCAGCTTGACGGAATATGTCATTTAAAAGAGCAGCCCTCTGAACCGGTGTGAGGACATCTGTGTGTTGCTTTGACGAGTGTATGATGAGCATGAAAAGTTCCAAAGTGGAGAGTCCGATGTGACCGACAAACCTCGCTACGGCTGGGCTCACACTTCGATTACGCCGAAGAGGGCCTCTGCCTTCGAGCAACTCAATCACAGGAACCGGCGTGTCAGTATCGATGAAGTAAGAACTGAGTATCTGGAGCCAGACAGGCTCCAGAGCTATTCCTGGCTCTGGAGTCAGTCACAATAATGTTTCTCGTACAGCATTTGCACTGGTGACATGTTGAAGCACATTAATTTTACGCGGAAGGACTAGTGTTTAAAACCGCTAAAGGTTTTTTTTTTAAATATGTGTGGTACTATGGAAATAAAAATTAAGTTGTGGTTACATTTTTACTTTGCCTCGTAACTAAACTAGCATTCCGAATTCTGTGACCGCTTTGACACGGTTGTTCAGCTCACGCTGCAATTTTTTCATGAGTCTGCCTTTCAAATAAGTTGCAGTTTACTATCATAACAGTCACCTAAGTTCCTACATTTTTAATCGAACTACCCACTATAGGTCTTTTTAGTATTGCCTTCAACTTACCTTGTGTTTGACACACTATGGCCTTAGTTGCCGCTGTGCCATTAAACACCTAATTTTCTTTCTTCCACCTAAATTCCTACCTACGGTCTCACAGGCAGCACTTGGTGCCTCAGTGGCAAAGGTGAGGCACACCAGCCCAGATTGGCCAGAAGGCCAATCCAGGCTGATTCCCACTCTGGAAGATCATGAAGCACTGTGCGTGCTCGATGATCCACCACATACACCTGTTCTGTCAAACCAACAAGATCGCACAGATTAGGTGTATATCTGCAATATTCAGAGCTTGGTAGTGCTGTTGATTTGTTCCTTCACAAGGAAGTACATGCCAGCCTTCTGTGTGCACCCAGGGAAAAGACATTGCCATTAATCCTGTAATTATGCTGCATTTTTTCATACATGTACCCCCATGCAAACAAGCAAGGACACATGCTCACTGTAACGATGGACAAATGATGCTGTTGATAGGTACATACTTATAAAGCTACCGAAGCCCATTTGTAAGGTGCATGAATACGCACAAAAATTCATCACTCAAACCAGGTTGGTGCACTCTGATGTGCTTACTATTCATTCCTGCAAGCTCTCGAAAGAACAAAGAAAGAACAAAAAGGTCAGTCAGCTATGATCCCATCTATACACAACATAGAAGCATAGAAAAGAAATCACCTTACTTACAGCTGCCCAGCCCCACAGGGGCGCCTGTGAAAGCAGGTGTTTGGAAAGTGGCGTCTCTATGGGCCCCGAGCCCCACAGGGGCGCCTGTGCCTTAAGTGCTGGGTGTTTGGTGAGTAGCGTCGCCACAGACCCCAGCCACGTGGGCCACCATACCCGCACGCAGGGGGCACCTACTTTGGTAGGTGCATGTTGAGTAACATCACTACGAACCCCGAGCCATGTGGGTTCGGCCACTCACGCCTGTCTGTGCATGGCTTAACCCGTGTCCCGGGAAAAAGGGATCCTGGTAATCGAGCTGAGCCCGAGGCACATTTGAATCCTTCGGGGCCCTCCAGGTGAGGCAATATACCCGTTCGGCCCCTGCTTCTCGTAGACGGGCGTTATGGCTTGACCCGACCAGGATGAATCAGTCAGTCGCCTCTTCTACCCTCTTGTTTTACTTTTTCTTCCACCTCTTTTTCTTTTCTCCTACACTCCCTTCCTTTCCCAGGTGAAAATTCAAAGTGGAACCACTTTAAAGTGGTTTATGGAACAGGTACCACTTGCAAATTGTCCCACTAGCAAATGGTGCGCCTGTTCCATAAACCACTTGGAAGTGGTCCCAGTTGCAAATGGTCCCACTTTTAAGTGGTTCCAGTTGCAAGTGGTCGCACTGGGAAAAAAAGGTGGCATATCCTAAAATATGGCTAAATGAAAGAACCAAAACTGCCAACTAGGGAATGAAAACATGAGATGCATGCTGGCCAGTTTCATGTTTTATTTGCACATTAATACACAAACTGTGGTCATTGACAGCGCAGCAAAATTCTGCTTGTTGGCTAAAAATCCTTTCGCTAGGGCCCGGAGCTTCATGCCTCTTCTTGTATCCTGTATTTTTTCGGACAGTATGGTCGAGATGTTTGCAAGTGCCGGAGCCACATCAATCTTTGTCGCCATTCCCCAGTGGCTGAGTGTTCCTGAAAAGCAGTATGATCATATATGTACAGTGAAATGCAAGGAAGCATGCCTAAAGTATT